GTTCTGTCTGTAAGACTTTAATGCAGTTATCAGTAATAGATAGAGTGACTCAAGAGAAAGGTTTATATGTATAATACATGCGTATTATAGTTTAGAACAATCCGAGAAATTCAAAGATTTTTCCGTCATCCGTGCGAAGCCCGGACGGGTTGCTTTAGCTATAAATTTCATGCAAGTGAAACCGCGGGCACAGCTATTATTATTTAAAGAATACATTGAATACAAAAATATAGGTCGTAAACATACTATTTCCAGCACATATTCCCAAGGGCGAAGTTAAACGCTATTATTGGGGGTATTTTTTTATAAATAACTAAACCAATTTCGATTAAAAACACATTAATGCATTGTATTCTATTTAAGTTGGTATCGCTGTGCGCTGTATAATTTCACTGCAATATCTCACCGTTAACGCCGGAACACAGCAACATGCAAGCGAGTTGCTTGTCGGCAAAAATAGGTGAAACAAAGCCTCTCATCCAGGTAACTTTGTACAAAGTCTCTTAAGAGATATCCTTAAATTACGTCACTCGTTAAGGGTGACAAAGTGTGACATTGAAGGACAAGAGGGTGCCTTAAATTTCGTGATGTCACTTCATGTGACTCACTATTGTGTGACAATAGGGTGGCAGGGAGATTAAATTTAGTGACGTGATGTTTTAAAATCTATATTTAAGTATTCATACACAAGATTTGTATTATTAAAGAAAATAGTTCTAATTCTAAAAAAATGTGACGTCACACTAGGGGGTGTGACGATAGGGGCAAAGTCTCACAAATGTGACTAACTGTGACAAATAAAACAAAGTCCCCGCCGCAACTATCTGTATGTTTGCGATAATTCAACAAGCACTGAACGGATTTTCAGGCTGTTTTCATGCATTAATAAAGTGATTTCTGTGCAAAGTTTTCGTGTATTTACGTTATGGTTTTGTGTACATTAATTGAAATACTAATGGAAGACCTGAGCTGGTCTCTAGCAAGGTGTGATACCCTTGGTGTATAGAAGCTACTGTTATCATTTACCGTCAGTTAGGCCGTCAGCTTTTATGCCATACTAGGTACATAAAAATGGTAATTAGATCATTAAGTATACAGTACTTCCAACAGGTAAAATAGTCTATTTATTATATTACTTTAAAGTTGTTTCGAATAATAACCTTAATTTCAGTACTGTTCTGAACAAAGCGCCTCATTCCCAAATTACAACTTTAAAATTAAACACCAAACGAAAACAACAGTTATTCCAATTCTGTAATTAAAAAGGTAAAAAAAACAACGCAAAAACTCTTGAATGACTTAAATAAACTTTATTTACACCGATAAATGCTGAAACCGGTTTTAAATCGAGTTTCATTTGAGGTTTGAATGAGAAAACAGTTTGCTGTTTATACGTGTTGCGTGAAAGAGATAGATCGCGATAAGTGTTGGAGTTAGAAAGAGTGAGCAGGTGTCGCGTGGCAATAAAAACTTATACTAACCATATAAGGGGATGGTTTCTAATTATAAGATAAAGTGAAGTATAAATTTTAATGAGTACTCAAGTATTGCTTGCTTGGAAATATTTGGACAAGAGAGCGTATCAATAGATAAGAATTCTTAGCCCTAAGGGTTATCAGAACACCGATATTTTTAGGATTTCCCGAATTATAAAGTTAAAAGGGAATTTTTGTGGTCCTACTTCCTTTGCCAAATTCAATATTTTGTCAAGTTAACAACAGGGTATTAAGTCAGCGAAATGTATTTTTATCTTTTGAATTCTTTTGTTAAGGTTAAATAAATATTGCAAATGTAGAGTACATTTGAAATAAAAAAAAAACAAACATTTCTGTACCATATATCAAATTGAAACACCACGGCAACGCAACAAATATTAGAAAAAAAAATCGTATTGGTTCACTAAACAAACTCATATCGGTTCATACATAAATCATTTCTTCATCCCACAGAAGGTATTTCCGAATACCAACTATTCGTTAGCGCTTGACATCCGGAACGCCCACATTTCGCGTGTTTTTTTAATCCAGTAGTACTCAATTGTAGACTTTAGGCCCGCATATTTAAATATATAATTTGTTAAACAACATTTTGCGGTCTAAATCTGCTTTAATTTATTTTTGATATAAAAATAATTTTATTTATAACTTTATTTAAGAAATAATGTAGTCAGTATCCTTTTCTTGTTATTGTACATAATTGAAATACAGACATTAATGATGTTAAATATTGTACAAAACAATAATTATCTCAATACTATTTTTTATAATAATCTTACGATTACCGAATATGGTTTAGATGATATATTCCTAAAAAGTTTACCTGAAATAATGTTTTTGTAGATATATGTCGTGCTTTAAGGAATCAAATATCCTCACCGTTGCTTCTCAATATATTTATGAAAATATCATGTATGCCAGGAAGAATATAGACAGTTTATGAGAATCATAACAATAATGATTTTACCTAAATGTCGTTTGGCTAAAATATTCGTTTTATGGCAATTGCGTAAGGTTTTACAAAATAATAATTATCTCCAGAAAAAAGATTTAAATGTCAAATAAAACACTTCCTTTGCAAAAAAGCTTACTATAAAATTGAAGAATTCGTTAACGATAATAATGTTTTTCTAGAAAAATTTTAAATACATGACAATATTATCTGATTACACTAATAATGAGTGGATTTTATGTTGATTGTGATATATTACACTGTAATTATTTATATAAAAAAAAAAATCTATTAAAAAGAGCAACACACAAGTTTCTTGCTCAAATGAATCTGCATTTTTGTAGAATCAAAATATGACTATTCAAAAGTGCTTGTAATGAGTTTATTTGAATAAAGATTATTTCTATTACTATTTCTATTTCTATTTCTATTTATGAGCTTTAAAATTAACTACATTTAACTTTTTTTTTATTCCATATTATAAATATTTCTATTTTATATTATTATCAATTTGGGATCATAATTTGGGAGTGAAAAATCATCATCAGAATTTTCAATTAATAGCAAAAATTTAAACAGTGTGTTTAATATGACGTATTTTAAAAAGGACGAAGCATAAGAGGAGTTTATTAGATATTTACATATCCAAATAGCAGATATAAAAGATGAATATGTATATAAAATGTAAGTAATGGTCTTTATTTAAATATAATCTTAGAAAATTGAAACTATCGATGATGACCTTTCGATAGAAGCCTGTAAAAGTGGGTTAACGTAAACATCTAATGAATAAATCAATCTGAAATGCAAACTACTTCTCATCATAATTAAGTAACGTAATGCATTGTGCCTTTTAGCTTCTTGAAACATGGAACAATCAATCGCATTGCAGCCCACTTCACATCGCAAGATAGCGGTCCAACAAAAGAAAGAGGTTGACTAACACTGTCTAGAATTATGAGTCCACTATAATGACAACATTACAACCGTTAGTAAAATTTGTTTTCTTAGAACAATTTGTTTTTATATAAGGTTCTTACTTAATATAGCCATTGTTATTTAAGCGATCAAACAAATTATGAAGGCAAAGGACAGCAAACCGTTTAAGGAAAAGATATCTCCGAGATTGAGTGTAACGTAAGGTTTGTTGACCTCCGTAATTAAGATAAAGCTCAATTCGATACTTTGATGGCATAATTAAAGCTGAGTTGATATTTTGTGATACCAATGTTTTTATATAGAGATAATAAAAAGTATTATTATTACCGTTAAAATTAATAATAAATTAGGACATATAATATACATAAATTTATCTTTAATTGGAAATTGTATTTTTTTTTCATATATATAATTGTACAAGAAACTATGTCATTAGTTAAGACCTTTATGATCGAAACAAAAAAAAATAGAGAAATATTTTTACTGATCAACTAGTGTTATTATTCTGCTCTCAAATTTAGACCCTTTTTTAGTACTGACCCCGAAATATAACGACACCATTTGTGAAAGCTTTTTCTTCTTGATAAAATAAGCCGTCTGTTGTATAGGTACAGTCAAGTTTCCATTTTTTAACAACATACCACATGCAACAAGAATACTGTAGCAATCCAAAAGAAAATGCCAGTGTTATAAGGAAAACACCGGCTGTTCGCTACGCTGTGAATATTGTAAAGGAAAAATTCCTTATGTCGAACGCACACGTTGATACCATGGCGCCACTACCTCGTTTTTGAGGCTCTGCAGTGGTGAGAGAAGGGAACGGAGATATCAGAGCTTTAGCAGGTGGAAGCAAGAAAGATATATTATTGCACCGGTAGCGAGGAGTGAAAGAGATCAATAATGAGAGGCACGAGGAGTTGAAAAGGGATTTCAGATTAAGGTCGTTGTCGAGTCAAAGATAAAGTGGCAAGAAAATTTCAGATGTGTTCTTATTATTTTGAATAGGACATATTATAATCATTTAAACTTTAAGATGTAAATATATGAAAAACTACGTTTTCATTACGTTAAAAATAAACCCTTCATTACTATTTTTGTCATCAAATATTTAATAATCCACGGGTAAGATCGGGCAAGTATCTTGATTAGCCTCGAAATTAAGATTTGTAATTAAAAAGCATTAATGGTATGTTTTATATAAAATATATTATATATTCCTTCAGAGTTTTGAATTTCTCTTCATAAACCTTATTATTTGTTTTCTTGATAATATTTTTATAATATATTTAGTGCATGGATTTAAAATGTATACCTTTTATTTGCTTTTGTGTTTTGTAAGAGAGTAACTAAATGTTTGTATTATGTGTATGTAGTATGTACAGTATTATATCCATTATTAAAAATAAATATTAGAATTATCACTGTTTATTCCATTTTGATTCTTAATTTGATGGTAATTAGTTGTATGTTTGTAATGATTACCTATTATTTATACAATAATTTTCGCGCCCAAACCATTAGTACCTATTCTGATCGTCTGCATTGTATGGTATTTGCCACGCAGCCTGGCCGGGCCCACTGAGCTTACATACACCCTCAGTTACTGGCTAAAAGGCACAAGAGTTATACGTATCGTGTACCGCCAGTTTATGCCGCGTCGTTCGTGTTACGACAGCCAAATAATCGCTGCGAAAAACGTTACTAACATTAGTGGTAATAGTGAGTGTGGTAAATTTTAGACGTTGTGGTAATTAGGTATATTAGTGGTAGTGACTTAAATGCGTTTTTGAAAGACGGATATTGTTTTCTTTAGTGAATATTGTGTGTTTGGGCGCTGGATTTTTAATGTGATTGATTGTCGACCTGAAAGGATTAAGTTTCAGCTTCGTGACGTCGAGTGAAGGTTAGTTGTTGTTTGTTAGTAATTTGTATTAGTTTTTTGAAGCGTTAACACTATTTTGCATTTAATTATGCCATTCTTTAGCATATTATCAAACCAGTATCAAAACCATAATACTTAATATCTAGTTAAATATTATTCACTATTATTGTTCCTTTTGAATTTCCAAGCTGGTCTCTTTTCTCTATAATCCATTAATTTTATTTAGAACTTAGTCCGCGTGATCACCATAATTTGACAGGGATAAATTCTTATGGTAATCCTTCTTCCTTAATGACCGGTTTAATAATTAAGGTAACAAATAAAAAATACAATTTCACATTATTAATATTGATATAATGTCATGATAAGTGACAAAAGTGTTAAGTAGTCATTATTTGTTAGAAATTTCTGCTGAAGAAGAAGCTGTAATATTATTTCAAAATATGATAACATTGAGTCTGTTAGGTTATTTTATTATCAGTATTGTAAAATATATTATGAACTAAATTAATATAAACAAAGTTATGCCAAGTGCAGTTTAGTCTTATTAAAAACAATTTTTTACTAGTTTCACGTGAGTTATCGTTATTTGTAAGCAAGAATAATAGATTATTTACCAATTTATAAAACGATTACTTCCATGCTATAACAAATATAGGTACAATTAATTAGTATGTATAACTTATATTATTTAATCTTATTGTAAAATAAATGGTAGAATAATTAGAAAAAGAAGAATTAAATTGAAGTTAGGAATTCTGAAGTACATAAATTGGGCAATGTCAAAGTAGAGAAAAACGTTATCTAATAACGATTGTGAATATATTTTAACAGTATAAGAGGATAATAAGTTTATAATAATGAATTAATCTCGTAATCAAAGTAAATAAAAAATTAAATCAAATATAATGCCAATAATTTGCGGACTACATGTAGACATTTTGACAGTTTCAGTCGCAAATATTTAATATGTACTGTCATTGTGTCATCTTTAGATCTCTCGGAAGATGAAAACAGGGATACCCTCTTCATTAAAATTTATCAGACTGTATGCTACGCGTTGCGTTAAAAATCCAGATATATTGACATTATAGAGGGTGAGAAAAATTGCGACCTTTGGTGAAACAGTACGTCAAAAAAATTAATAAAAGCCAATATCTTCCTTCCGTTACTTTCAATGATAATAATTAATGTAAAGTAGGTGTATTAATAGTAATGCTTACCGTTACAATTTAAAACAAACTAAAATAACTACACTCACAATTTTTTTTATCTTATTTGAGTAGGTCAGCTTAAAATGCAAACATGCGTTATTTTTAAATTTTCAATTGATGTCAGATCTAAAACAGTCAAGTTCTTTTTTAAATAAAATTAATTTACTAATATTATAATAGAAATTAAAACCGAATATCCTATAAGTTTTGAGAAAAATTTGCTGACTTCTAAGTACTTACTCTTTTTCGAACATGTGTAATATTGACGAAATCAATTTGAAAACCTTTAATGTATACTAATGTCTTTGGTTCAGTTATTACATATAGTGTTTCGTTTATGTGGTATTTAGTTCATATAGCTACAATAATGTAGCATCCACAGAGACAGCGGTTGATAAAACGACAAAGACTAATTGCACGAACAAAAACGCCATTTCTCAGCAACATGTCTTGAACAAAAAGCATCACACGTCCCGTTCATTCATTAACATAAGTACAACATTTAGGTATACGTCAAAACATTGTGCTAGTCACGTGAGGAAATTATCTTTATGCGACGTAATTTGCTCGACGTTATTGTGCGCGAAACGTTGTCACAACATTTTGTTGTTAGTTGGTGTGGTATTTGGAATTCGGTTGCGGTGTGGTAATACGTAATAATACGCTTTTACGTTGCCGTAAGGAATGCTGATCGATATTCTGCGGTGCTACGTGGAATTTACGAAGATTTGCTCCATTTCGGTTGGGTTTATTTCCTTTGAATTGCGACTGGGATGGCGGGTGTACATGATTAAAAAAAAGTGTTGACATTTTTTTTACTTTACTTATATATATCTCAGGACTACGTTTGCGTGAAGGGGCAAAAATAGTCGCATGGTAAACAACTATGATTGCCATTACTGCATAATATTAATATTATTATAATTTATTAATATTTATAATTATAATAATAGTAATAATGGCCCCAACCTAAACAGAGTCTGTGTACAACTAATACAAATAAATAGATATATTTTTTCACAAACATAGAAAACACTCAGACGATATAAAAATATATAATAAAGAATACAAATATTTGTACCATGCGAGCAATCGAACCCATCCACCATTGGAAGTAAAGCGGAGTGCTGAGCAGCTAGACCACCGAGGTCGTCAATAGTTTTTAAATATTTTTTATATGAAAGAAATTTTTGGCTTCGATTTTCGTTAGGACCCGTTATTCGGTTTCATATTGGACAATTTAATCTTGAAATTGGGATTGTTATGTCTAGATACCGGAATGCATTTGCATTTATTTGGATATGCATTTGCATATTGCGATCGTTTTCATCTGTTATTGCATATTTCACCCAAAATCTAGAGGTGATGATTATTATCGTTTTATTTACGTATTTTTTTGTACACAGTTTTTTTTAAATAATGTGATGACTATTCAAAAGTATTTCAATGTAAGGAATCTGAATAAATTATTTTCTATTCTGTTATATTTAACCAAAATTAAAATAATGAATTTAAGAAATATAACCTTTGTAGCACTACTATGTGATACACGCAACTTCGTCTGCATTTACTTTACATTTATCAGTATATTTAGCTCAATTTTCATGTTTCTAAATCATAGCCTATGTGTTATTCTGGTGTACAAGCTATCTATGTTACTATAAAGTTTCATGAAAACCCATGTAATCATCCATCTATACATACTCACAAAGTTTCGGGGTCATAATATTGATAAGACAGACAAGATTCCACTCAAACGTTGCAATTACAAGAGCTAAGGTGTCATGCTAGAGTACTCTTTAATTTCACCGCCAAATCTCACCCTCCACACCATTAAACAAACATCGTAATGCACTCTGATTTCATTTCACTGGCGCTAACTATAATTAAAGTCGAAAAGTTCCAAGAGAACGTGATTGCAACTCAAGATGTTACTATTCATTTTCTTAATCCTCCTTTTTCATGAATATACGTAATAATATTGCTGGGAAAATAATATTATATTTTCCAAACTAGAAATCTCTTTGCACGAAAAGCTAGCTTAATTAGTGGATTAGTGGAAATACATATTAATAAGCTAGTTACGGAGCTTATTGCGTTTCTTGATGTATATAAAAGAAATACCATAATGTTCTTTGATACTTGTTTTTTTTGCCATCTCAAGGACGGTCGATGAAATGACGGTATTTTTGCTAATAATGTCAGAGTTTATGAATATGACTGTACTTTTACTCTCGAACTCAACATATTATTGTACTAAAATTAAAATTACGTCGATAAATGCCTTCTAAGTTGGAAAGCGGTAATTTTCAGTGAAACTAGTTAGTCGGAATAAATACGGAAACTACCTTCAAATCGAGAGAAAAAAGATCACCGTTTATTCCGAATGATTATCCACAAGTAGGCATCGCGCGTTTCTCCATCCAAGTGTTGCCTCACTCAGTCTGATCGACATCTATCTATCAAAGTGAGTAAAATTAATAGAGATTTATTGGTTTTGACTAATGTGACCATTTTTGTTTATTGTCAAATTGGGATAACTGAAAGATTAAGAAGTTGAAATATATATCCGTAGTTAATATTATAAATTCGAATGTGTGTCTGTCTGTGTATATGTTACCTTGTCGCGACTAAATGGATATTAATGAAATTTCATATGAAGACAGAAAATATTAGTCGGAATCTATTTTTGACATCAAAAAGCGTTAGTTATCTATTAAAAAGCATTACAAGCATAGCCAATATATAATATATTAATGTTGTTCTTGATTGTTTTTTAATTTTCTTAATGGTAAATAAAATGGCTTGTTTAATTTTCCTTTTATTTAGTGCTGTACATAACTATCTGTAATACCTATATAAAAACCTCGTGTTATAGTGTTTGTTAACGAACTCCTCTAAAGCGTTTTTTTTATTAAATAATAATGAATAATAATAATAATTTGATGTATGTTTTGTATGCCTGAGAATAGGTCTTGTACTATTTTATATATTCCCAGATAATAAGGATGGCCATGGCTATCCAGAAATAATTATATGCAATATAACATTTGTGGAGTCAACTTTATATTTGCTTGTTAGCTATCATTGTTATCATTATGGTCTAGCCTTTATATATCAGTAAGTTAGTTAGGTTAGTCTAGCATATCATATTCATCCACTTTTTCTATCGGATTTCATCTTAGCTCATTCTTTATTTATGTATATTACTAGCTGTCCCGGAAAACATTATTTTGCCTTAAAATAAAAAAAAAAATAGGGGTGGACTACCCTTAACATTTAGGGGGATGAAAAATAGATGTTGGCCGATTCTCAGACCTACTCAATACGCTCACAAAATTTCATGAGAATCGGTCAAGCCGTTTCGGAGGAGTATGGGAACGAAAACTGTGACACGATAATTTTACAAGATAAGAGAGTGCTCTTTCATATAGTACAATAATGTTTTTCATGTATTCATTTAATATAATAAAACTATGTAGTTTTATTTCTATCCAAATTAATTCTTTACAAACATTACCGAATTTTAATTACCAAAGATAAGAAAATCCTTTTTTTTCTTATTAATGTTGAGACTGCTGATTTGCATAGATTAACATTTTAAGTCGGTAAGCGTCTCACTCTTGTTTTTTTTAGGCTTCAAGCGTGTCCCACTTTTTACTTACACAAACTTACCGAAGACAGTTTGCCAAACGGATTTTTTTACTCTGGAACAGCGGTACATTAACTCCTCTCTGAAAACGGGACTGTCCTGCTTAAACTGTAACGGATGGTCACAATATTAGTTTTACCAGTTTAAACAGTGGG